AACTGGCAACCCCAGGGACTTGCAGGATTCAATCTGCTCCTCAACCAACTCCAGGGCCCAGAAGTACCCAACTTACCTTTTTATTTTTTGCAGAGAGTCCAGTCGATCCAATGTGAGACTCAGTTTTCTTGTAGAGGCTGCCGACCTCATGGCAACTTTGTGCTATTCTCCCAGCAAGTAGTACTTAAATTCCACAAACATAGGGACCCTCCTTAAAAAACAGCCTCCACAAACAAACGGAGCCTCATTAACTTAGTGACCGATAGTAAGATGAGACATCGTTGCTATAATGTCTAAATTAAAATACGACAGCCTGCCAGAAATAAATTTCCTGCATTTTCAGACTCAGTGACTCTGTGGCAAAGGAAGAAACATTATACAAAACATTGTTTTAAGCATAGGCCATTTACCAAGCAGACTTCTTAATAACCTCATCAACATTACCAACTCAGGGTACAAAATGTTGTGCAGAAGGTTTCTTCTAATGAAATACGCCATGGTGTGGGGGAACAGAACAGCCACAAGAATCATGTCAAGAGATCCTCTGGCAGTGGAATTCCATTAATTTTTTTTTAAAAATGTTCTGCTTCTGAGGGAGCCATAGCTGTCTTGCATCCCAGCCTATTCCATTCAGATCCCTGTAAGAGCAGCTAGCACAGATTTCATCAGTGCAATTAAATATTATTACAGAGTTTCCAAACTCTGCAGTGCCACAACCTTTTAAAATGATAAATGATTTTTGTGATTCCCTCCATGAATAGAATTAATGAGCCATTTCCCTTTGTTCCAGTGGAACAGGCAGCTATCAGTTTAGCAGGGATCAGTTTAGCATTACGTGAGTTTCCTCGCCCATCTATTATTTCCTGTACATAAATTGGAGTCCTGCTAGAACTCAATCCCAGGAGGAACAAGTTCTGGCAGCAATTCAGCTTTGGATGCACAACCCATGCAGAACTCTGACTTTGTGTGTGAAAGCTTGATGCCTCACAACACAGATTGGAATGTATTTTCATAGTTGGCTTGTCCACACAGATTAAACTGAGTTCTCACAGGGCTAAAGCTTTGTTTGCATAAGATGTAGGCCTAGAAATCAAGATTGCTGTGAGGAGTATCCACAATCTACATGGAACATAATACATATATTGAGGCAGTATTCCATCTTCAGAAAATGGCACTGGTCAAAACTAGATACTGTGGTGAGACCATGGCATGCCAAACTATAAAATAAAACCTAAATTAGGCTTCTTGATCAAAGCAGCAGTCCTCCACATAAGCAGAAAGGAAAAGAGAAGTACAGCTCCGGGTTAAGGAATCCTCACTCTCTTCCCTCCCCTACCTGCTATACTTCTGTCTCTTTCCCTCTCTCCACTTTGAATCTCAATGCCTTTTGAAACTTATGCAAGTTAGTTTCATGCTCATAGGATCATGGAGTCTATAAAGCTAGGGGAAAAGTAAAAGGCAGAGGTTTCCACAAATTCCCTGCAGATTACTCTTCCTCACTGCCTCCCAGATCTCCCCTTTCTTCCACACCCATCATTACCATTCTTCCCATTACCCTTCACTTCTATCTCCTTTCTACCCTCACTCTCAATTTTGCATACTCACTCAGCATTACACGGACGTCTTCCAAATGTGAAAGAACCAATTCTGCTTTGCAGCACACCTGTATTTCCACACATACACAGTACAGGGTATTTAAAAGTACAAAAGAAACAGAATTACAAGAACATTAACAGCAGTATACATTCAGAATATTATATAGTTAGAGCTGAATAGATTTGAATAGAAAGTTTGTTCAAGTTGTATCTGGCTCTTGATGTCTGTACGAATATATGCCCATGAAGTTTTCTGAACAGTATTGTGGAAGTAGTTTGTTTAGCCTTCTCAGGATTTTTTTTTTTATTTCCCTAGTCCAGCCTATCAGCCAGGGACACTGCTCATTTCCTGGTCATCAGATCCAAACATAGCACTATTTAAATGTTTTAAGATAACAATAATACTGTAGATGCTACCACATACTTCGTATGAAATGGAACATAAAAATAAACATGAGTTAATGCTGAAAATATGTAGGGAGGGGGAGAGACAAAATGGAAATATTTTTGGCATTCTTGGTTTTGTTTTAAATTTACATTTTTTCCTTGTCTTCAATTTCTGTTTCTTACTATATGTGGAAAATATGTTTGATGAGGTCAAGTATAATAATAATGAAAACAATAGTCTTCAATAACAAGGAACTTCTTATAACCTTGAAATTGCCAAGTCTTTATAATTAAAGTTTCTTCGTTGTTATCCACAAACTGTGGATAATAAACAGATTACTATGTTTGCATCTATAAAAATAATATTATAAAACCTCTACTGGCTACAATAAGTGTTGCAATTGTATTCATAATTCAAATGAGGAAATCCTGAGTGTCTTGGAATTGCAAAAAACAAAAAATAATTAATCTCAGTCATGAAAGAATATGATACTAGATATTACCAGATGATTGGATCAATATTAATAGGAAACAGTATTGAAGAACCCCAGTATCACTCTCCAGTTCTGCAGCCTATAGTTTACAGACCACCTGATAACATTTCTTAGATTTTCAATTGAAAATAATCAAAGTGCACTTATGAGAAAGGGAAACTTTAAAATCAGTAATCAGTGAGTGTTTTCGAGGTCTGATTCTTGGCAAATAAAGAAAAATCTGAAATACTGAAATACTTGAAGTATCTGAAATACTGCATTTTTCTATTGTCTTCTTTGTCTGTATTCCCAATAGTTTGAAACTTGTTTCCGTTTCTAAAGTTACATAAAATACGTATATTACTGCACTGGGCTCTAGGTGCCTTCAAGGAAATAAATGATTATTTATACATTGCATATAATTTCTTTCCTATGTTCTATAAATGGACACTAGCTCATACATATGCTAATATATCCCTAAAATATTTTTCTAAAATATTTATGGAGTGTAGACACATTGCAACCTTGTGTTTTCTATAATTCTGGATACCTTTCTAATGGTTTATTATTTTGCAGATGTACACCAGAGAATGTGTGGATTTTTATATATTTGATTTTTAGAAACAAGGATTTTAACAATAATTATTCCCTTGGTACCTACCTTTTTTAAATTTGCAGGAGGGAGCAAACTTTTTTCGCACATTTTTTACTGGATTTAATTTTCCATCTCACTATATTCGATGCTGCATGCAGTCCTTGACTTACAGTCATTCATTTAATGACCATTCAAAGTTACAATGGCAGTGAAAAAGTGACTTATGTCCATTTTTCACGCTTAGAACCATTGCAGATGCCCCATTTGATCACTACCCCACGTAATCAAAATTTGGATGTTTGGCAACTGGCATGCCTTAATGACAATTGTAGTGTCCCGAGGTCATGTGAACAGCTTTTGCAACTTTCTGACAAGCAAACTCAATGGGAAAGCCAGATTCACTTAACAACCATGTTACTAACTTAATAACTGACAGGATTCACTTAACTACTGGCAACAAAAGTCATAAAATGGGGCAAAATTCACTTAACAATTTTGTCTTGCTTAGCAATCGAAATTTTGGGCTGATTGTGGTTGTATGTCGAGGACTACCAGTACTGTAAACAGTGTAGTGGTGGCTCCAATTATTAATAGAAGCACTATATAATATTTTAATTTTAATATTTTATTAGAGGTCTTTTTAACTTTAAAAGATCTTATTTATTTACTGAACTTACGTAATATTTTTTTCTAAGCTGGATAAGGGTTCCGAATTACAGACCAATTTGTGTTATAAATGGGATAATAAAACATTAATTGATCTGTTGGCTTGGAGCCCTCAGGCTGGATTTATGGAACCATCAGGGAATTAATAATATTAATTATTATTAAGTTTGGAGCCCCAAACTTCTGGAAATGAGACTGTGTCTGAAATTGGGTTTGCAGGATCAGTGGGGAGTGTTGTTGCTTTTGTAGGCCATCTCAGGAAGAAGAGTAGAGTTTGCCAGGCTTATGGTCCTGGGAGACTTCAATTTGCCATCTCTGGATTTGGCCTTGGAAATGGCTCTGGAGTTCATGGCCATCATGACAGCCATAGGCATATCCCAAGTTATCCCAGACCCAACTCAAGATAGTAGTCATATTCCAGATATGATCTTCCAATGGTGGTGAATATTCAATATCCCTCTGTCGTGATCTCTATCACTCAAGCACAGGAGTGTCAAACTCAATTTCATTGAGGGCCGCATCAGGGTTGTGTTTGACCTCTGAGGGCTGGGGGGGCATGGCTGGGGTAGGTGTGGGCATGGCAAACATGACATCACTCAGGAAACCTGTGGTGGCCAAGTGCTAAGGCAGGACTTCCCTGAGACCCTCCCTAACTCTCATTATAATCTCCTTCCTTCCTTTTCTTCTTTTTCCTTCCCTCTTCATTCTCCTTTCTTCTTCCTTCCCTCTTTCCTTATTTTCCTTCCTTGCTCTCTTCCCAACTCCCTTTCTTTTTCTTTCTTTTTCCCTCTTTCCCTTTCTCCTGTCCGTTCTTGCATGTTCAAATGCCAAAAGGGAAACATTTCTCCTTTCCTTTTGTTTTTAGTTTGTTTTGATAGCCCTCTGCCAGCAAAAACAGAGCTCAGGTTTTCACTGCCAAGGCACCGCGGGCCGGTCTTTTCCTGTTTCCAAGCCAGCCCCACAGGTCGGATCTAAGCACTTGAGTCTGACAACCCTGCTCAAGCAATATCATTCATCAGGCCTTTTTCCAATTTAATATCAGGCCCATGGAACAGCATCCACACTGAAACCTCCAATTCTTCCGGATTTCTTTCTGAGGGATATTGGGTGTCCTGATGGATTTTACAATTTTTTTTTCAATTAGAAAAGATTAGAAAACATCCTGCTCTTTAAATATAGATATTATTATCTACCAGCCTGGGAGTAAAACAGATTGAAAATGTAGTTATTTTTTTAAAAAAAGTGAAACAACTCAAATTTAGTTTTGTCTTTTTGTTTTTATAGGGAACATTATATAATAGAAATAAAGCTTCCAGAAAAGATGTTTGAATTGCTTCCTCAAGAGATTAAAGATGGAAAACTGCTCTATGTCTATCCAGTCCTCTTTAATGTTGGAATCAATGAACAACAAACACTTGCAGAAAGGTAAATCATCAGGGTTATGTGTTGTTTTATATATGGATAGAAAAACTACCCATATGTTAACATCCCATGAAATAATTAAATGATTGGATATGATAATTTACCTGGAGAAGATACAGTAAAGGAGAAATGATAAAGTCATTCTGTTCATATCTATATAAACTATAGCTGTTTACAGGAGACTCTATAGGCAGCCTGGAACTTACTGGTTTTTACAGAAACTATACAGTTTGAAACTCAATTTTTTTTGATACACACGCACACACAAAATTATACACATTAAAAATACATAACATTCTATATATTAGGAAATGAAAATTGGAAAATATCTACGAAGTGTGCATATTGGGTTTTTCTATTCATAAACTGACATTAAAATAGTGAAACAAATACATAATTGGGAATATATAACTTTAATAAAGCAAACTAAGTATTTATTCATGTCTACCAAGAATCCACTGGCTACATAATTGTAGAGGCACTATTTCATTTTTTAGAACAACTCATCCCATGAAAGATACATCCTCGTCAGGAACTGTGGTGCATGTTTATGACTGGAGTAGTCAAGCTCATTTGAGAGAGAGAAAAGGACCATCTCCTCAATATTCTATCTGAACAGCATGTCTGGCCTAATAGTTCCTCTTTGTGTCTCAGCAACTGATTGGTCAGCTACAGTGTATCTGAAGAGATTTTTCCATTTTTAGGTCCAAATAAATGTTGACATCTTCAGCTAAATATAGACAACTTGTAGCCATTCCAATTAACTTCTTCTATGTAGGTACAATTTACCACTACAAGATTAGGATTAAAACAAATATTTTATCATCAAAAATTTAAACCAAAATATTATAAACTCTTTTAAGATACACATAATTCCATCAGAAATCAAACAATTAAAAAAGAGCTATTCATTCAGAGGGCGAGTTGTAAAAGCCCTTCTCCCCAAACATGGTAACATAGTCAAGGCTTAGCAATTTTCTAAAGATCCACAGTGATTTAATCATCCAAATTACTGATGAGAAACTATTCCAGAGAAGGACAGACAAAAAAGCATGATTGTAAGCTCTTGATTGAGTGAACAAATAAAGAATGCACATAATGTAAATGCTATCATTGTATCGATAATAGTGGACATTTGAAGAAATAACCATTTTAATGTCTCTTTAATAGACTGTGATGGATAAGGTTGATCAAATTAGAATGATTTTTTTAGCTATTTAGACATTTACTAAGTGCATATATTATGAAAAAATTTAATACTTCTGAAATGATATTTGTTCATCTTCAGTTTAATTCAATATTTTAAATGCTTTAAAGAATCAAGATGCATAATAGAAAATAATAGAATAGAATAATCTAGGTGTTGTTGTAATGTGCTAAGAAAAGAATCTATGTAAAAATAAATGTCAAAATTGTCAATCCTATATAGGAATAGTGAAATTAAGATTTTCAATGCAGAATAAAGCTAAATAAAGTTAGGGTTAGAGTGCATTTTTTGAGACAAAGCATTAGGCCAGGGTAAAACAAAACAAAGCATACTTTGTGTATGACTGGTATGACATCCAACGAATGGCTTTTATAGGATATGGTCATATCCTCTGACTCTCTACTCTGTACTGGGCCAAAGAATGTAAAGCCAAGGTGTTCTTCAGCCATGTCAGAATTGGAATTTAGTTGCTGTAAATTGAATGGTTTTTCTATAATTTGATACTTCCATAGAAAATTACTTTGAATAGCATCTAGTACTGCATGCTAACCCACCTTGCTTCCAACCTTAATTCAGAAGAAGATGGCTAGGAATAGACAGAATTTGCAATAAATAAATAATATCAGGAAAGATTTCATTTTCAGTTAGATCCTCATTGACTAAAAATCCCTAAGTATTTCAAGAGAACTCAGTAATGTGCTTAACAACTATAATTGTCTGTTTTATTCTCTTGTTTAGTCACCTAACAAGAGAATATTTGTTACTGCTATTCCTGGATAGGAAAAATAATGATACATTCAGACCAATTCTCTCTTGGTTTGAGAAAGACAATATGATATTACATGTACTTCAAGTCAACAGCAATCAAGAGTAGGTGAAGGGCTTTTTCAGTGTGGCTTCATTTGATAGATCCTTGACCAAAAATCCACTCTATAAAACAGTACAGATAATATTTGTAATGGTTAGAGACTGGAATCTGGAACCCACCATTGCATAAAACTGGCAGAAGTACTGTACATTGGAGCTTTATTCCATCAATATTTCCACAGACATAATCTATGCTTTACTGAGGACTTTCCAGCAATTCTCAACCAATTTTTCAATCAAGGGCGTTACCGTATTTTTTGGAGTATAAGACACACCTTCCCCCCCCCCCAAAAAAAGAGCATGAAAATGTTGGTACGTCTTATATACCAAATACAGCCATTTTTGGCCTCCCAAAGCCTGCCCCCCGCATCCCATTTTTGTGAAAAATGGGTTGTTTTTCACCAAAATGGGGGTGTTTTGCCTTCCCCCACCCCCCAGAAACACTCTTCAGGCTTCAGTAGGGCTGGGGGAAGGGAAAATGCCCCCATTTTGGTGAAAAATGGGGGCATTACCCCAGCACTGCTGAAGCCTGCAGTTGTTCTGGAGGCCAGGGAGGACAAAAGCTTTTTTTTCTTACTTACCTCTTTGAAATCTTGGTGCATCTTATACACCGGTGCATCTTATAGTCCGAAAAATACGGTATTTGCTTTTGTTGTGATACCTCCAGTTTCAAGTCTACTATTCAGTAAATATCAGAATGGGCAGCTATTCTTTGATAAAGTAAAATCAAAACTATAAATACTGATGTCAGATTATTTCCATGACCCATGTTATGTAGCATGGGTGTCAAACTTGCCACATCACATTCCCATCATGTGATGTTTCATGACATTTTTCCTTTTGTGGAGCTGGGATGGACGTGCCCTGTGCGTGACATATCCAACCCTTAGGCCACTAGTTTGACACCCCTGTTATAGAGCCTTTTTCTTAAGATCTTTAAATTGTGAGGGCAATTTTATATTATGGTTGGTTTAAGGAATTACAGATATGATCTACACACATACTACAGACCATTTCTTTAGAATGCTATAAATAATTAACCCATATTAGTAAACATAAAGCTGAGATTGTTCAGTTTCTCTGATTGAATCGTGTTTACATGTTCATTACTGCATTTATGCCATTTTTGTTCTTATTTTTTCCATGTATGTTTTGTGATTCTTTAGGTTTGGGGATACCTCCTTGCAAGAAAGCCTTAACCAGGAAAATTTGGAATTGCTAAAAGAATACTATAAGTTATTAATGGAAAAAATGCCTCCTGATTGTAAGCATTTTAATAGAACTTCATTATGTTGAATTTGTTACATTTGTCACATAAACCATAAGGTAATATTGTTTCTACGGAGCCTTTTTTTTAAATAAACTTGAGGGATTTTTATTATTTTATTGCAAACACTGCCCTTTCTGTTTCCCAAATTTCTTTCACTTGAAATAGAATTTCCCATCAACATTGGTGGAACTGACTGAAGGCTTACATGGAATAATAGTGAAATAATATCTTCATAGGTTCTAATTGTGAATAATTTTCTATTTCATGTTTGTTTTGATTTTTACCAGCCAAGTATAACAAAGACAATAAAATATTAATCACACAATCATTAAGTTATATAACTTCCATAGTAGCTCAACAATCCCATTGAAAAACATGTGAGAGTTAGGGTGTATTAACAGGACATGACAAAATTCTTAGTAGCACCAGTGTACACTCTGTTGCCATTTTCTTAACTCAAGTTAAGTTAAATGATAGAAGAGCTTATTCAGACATTATGTACAAAGAGCAGGTCTATGAATCTTTTTTAACTCCAGTGTCCATTTTCTGGGATTGTGTAATTGTTGTTCAACCCAAGAAAAAGACACAGCTAAGGCAGATGGTGTGTATCCACTGGATGACTTGGGATAGTACTGTGGCTATCATGGTGACCACACTCCCAATGGAGGTAGATTGAATTCCCCTAAAATTATAAGTCTAGAGCAGAGGCCCCAACCTTTTGGGCACTAGGGACTGGTTCCATGGAGAAAGGTTGTCCACAGACTGCAGGGGGCATGGTTTCGCGTGTTGCCTGCATCCCACAGATGGAGCTTCGCTTGTTTGTGTGGCCCAGTTTCTGGCATGCCGCAACCCAGTGTCGATCCATAGACCCGAGGTTGGGGACTAGAGAACTCTGCTCCTAACCCAGAATGGATTCAGTGAGCTCAGTCTGGGAAGTTGCTATGCAGCAGAGAAGTTAGTACAATAGCAACAAGCACAACTTAATGAACATATCTCATATATGACAGCCGATGTTGCACCGCTCATGAGACTAAAGGAGTTTTCTAGATAATAATCACCAATTTCCTGCTCCAGATTCTGAACTGATGCCACATCTAAAATCCATATGACCATACCTCCAAAAGGTCTGGGTAATGCAGGCCAGGTCAGCCCTCTCATCAACAAGTAAATCACAGATGATTACATTTACAAGCAGCCGTTGAAAGCCAGAATATCTTCAGGAGTAATAGAAAGGAAGGCAAAATGTCCTCCATGGTGTCTATTGTTATTCCCTCACTCCCTCCCTGCCTAGCCAATAACAATACCTCTAGAGTTCCGACATCCTGGATGGGCGTTCAGATAGCAATAGCAGTTAGACTTATATACCACTTCAAAGGGCTTTCAGCCCTCTCTAAGCGGTTTACAGAGTCAGCATATTGCCCCCAACAACAATCCGGGTCCTCATTTTACCCACCTCGGAAGGATGGAAGGCTGAGTCAACCCTGAGCCGGTGAGATTTGAACAGCCGAACTGCCGAACTGCAGTCAGCTGAAGTAGCCTGCAGTGCTGCATTTAACCACTGTGCCACCTCGGCTCTGGAAAGCTGCCAAGGCAAGCTCCAAGCAGCAGTCTCTAGGTTGCACATATAGCAGTAAGCAGAGGCCCTTCATCATCAGCAAGTGGCAGGAATCTCCCAACATCTAAACAGCTGAAGTCCTGTTTCTGCCAGTCGCCTGACCAATCCCAACATAGTACTGCTAACACAGCCACCCAACAAACCCCCCCCCCCAAGAAGAGGGTTTGTTGAGATGGTGGGTGTAATATATATTGTAAGTTTCAATTCATTCTACAATGTTCATCTGCAGTTCATTCTGTGATGTTCTGGTGACTGGCTTCTAGCCCCCTTTTGTTATAAGTTTCTTCTTTTATTTCCTATACATCTCCCTTTCTCTTCAGCATTTTAGAATATCTGTCTATATCCACACTGACACCTGTAGATGACTTTATTTTTCTTTGTAATATAAATTGTTTGCTGTTGCAGTTTCAGCATTGTGTTTTACAGAACTTTCCATCCTTCCCAGACATATTTCTCCTTCAGAATTGCAATCTACTGGATTTGACTTACCTTCCACCTCAGTTCATTGAAATCTGCTTCTCTGAAAGTTAGCATAAAGGTTTGACTTCTCTCTATTCTTCCTTATCTTGAACATGAACTCAAGGATCACATGATCCGTTTCTCCCAAGATTCCAGTTACTTTTACTTCTTCAACCGTTGCTTCTTCTTGGCATTTGTGTAGAAATTCCTTATACTGTAAGTACTAACTCTACTAGCTTGCCATTGTAGTTTTCTACCAATCTCTAAGTCTGTTTTTTTTCATGCTTATCTTATGTATTGTTCAACCCATTTTTGGCATTATGTTCAATTCTGAGCCTTTGACACCTATCATTCTCTAGCCAACATTCTTCCAGATATATCCTTCCCAGGCTTTGTGAGATGTAGGCCACCTTTTGCCAGATTTTTTTCATGTAGGTATGTATGAAAAATATAAATCCAGAAAAGGCACTCAAGTACAAGATCTTGTTCTTTTTTCTCATGCCTTGACCCTCTATTAAAAGGATTAACAGAAGCACTTTCCTGCCTAGGCTTCATAATTTAGGCAGATCTGTTTACGGTATCTATTGGCATTGTCATCCATCATCACATGAATTATTAGGAAGAAATAGATATTGTTGATTAAGGAAACACAGCAACTTGTCTGTCATAATCAGGATAAAGGACCTGGAAGATAACACACCTCCCATGACGTCACATTAATCTGCATAGTCTTAATGCAGTTTCAGTTCATTTCACAGGGAATTCCCCCATCATTGCATCAGCATTTCTCTTTTCTCAAACTTGTTTTTCTTCAACTCCATGGTTGAAGTGTTTTCCACCTTGTTCTGATAAACTAGGTTGATGAGACTTATCAAGCTAGGTATGGGGTGTCCTCAAGAGCAAGAAGCTGATACAAGGCTTTGAACTCCATCACTGAAAACCATCTATTTCTCTTGATTTACTGGGTAACATACTTCCCTTACTTTCCCCCAGTAACTACTCCAGCTTTCAATTCTCTCTCTGCTTCTCTTATTCTGTACAGGAACTTTTCACCTTCCCTGGTATGTGCAAGAATAGAACCTCTCTATTTATGTTATTTTGCCTTCTATTCTGGTAGAACCACAGGAATGTTTGTTTAGATTCTCTTCAAGTATTGCATCACCACAAGGGTTCCTTCTGTCTTCATTCTGTTCAGGAGTAATTGGAATGGATGCCCATATTCCTTCTACCAAACTCCATGTTAAGTTCCCCTGATTGCTCTCCCTATTTGCACATTCAGGGAAGGTTTCTGGATGTAACCAATGTTACTTCTTTCTCTTCCTCCCCTTGCCACTTTGAAACAAAGTATGCTGAATATCTCATGAGAGTAAATTTTACTCATAAGAACTGTGGCTTGTAAGTGAAGAATTAAAAGTCCTATCTCCGCATTCTGTGTGGAAAATTGGAGCGGAATCACATCTAATATAAAAATGTTTAAACTTATTGTACAAGAACATCAAATGTAATTTGATGTAGGTATTCCATGTATTAAACTGTTTCCATGTTAATATTCAGTTCCTTGCCCCAAAATTTCCTTTTCTTCTCTTTCTACTATGCATTTTATTTTATGACCAAATGCTACAAATAGAGGAAAATATAATTTCCTATTTTTGTAGACTGACTTTTGGGCTGCTTATTATTTCTTTGTCCTTGTAATGAAAAAGCATTTGCGCATTGTACCCTGGAAAATCCCTAGTTCAGGTTAAGTCCTGATTATACCTCCCATCAAAATATAAGACGACCTCAAAAGAGGGACTTAAAATCACTGTTGCTATTCAACAAGGATTTATTTATTTCAGGTGATCTTTAGTTCACGGCAGCATTTCCCCCCCTGGATTTTCATGAAGGCTATTGTTATTTAAAATTGCTTTCTCCCTAGGATATAATAGATTTTAATCAATATTTTAGTGCATTTCCAGAACAGATGCAAGCCTGTCTTTTCTGGCTGATAACAATGTTATTTATGGGATTTTATTTGCTGAGTCTCTTGGAGCTACTGGAATTAATGCTAATGAGGTTAAACCTGCGTTTAACTATGACAGATGATCAAAAATGTTCTAATGCTGCTCATTTTTTTGCACGTTAAAACACTCATCTTTGTAATTAGAAAAATCAAAAATATTTGAAACATCAAGCACTTTTTCTGATTACAGCTAGAAAAATAACTGCAGTAGGTTAGAACTAGATGTTAATAATATGTTAATTCAATATTTATCCCAGCTACACCAGTCCCTAGATTTCCAAACAACCTGCAGCTTTGAATTTTAATATATTTTCTAAAATGTCAACATGCAAATACTACTTCTGTGTGATTTCTTAAGAAGGCAAATGTTATATGATTACTTTTTGTTTTTGTTTCTTACATTTAAAACCTAAATTTATAAAATAGAAATTCAAACCTTCATCTGTTTAAACCCTACCTTGCCCCACATTTGGTAAGAACTCAAAAGAGGCAAGATATCAATATAGTTATCTTTTTAGAGTTTCGCCAAATATGGAAGGACAGATAATTTTTCCTTTTTTTCCTCTTACAAAACAAAAGCAAACGTAGAAAAATAGAAGGAAAGATAGCAAAAGACAAGAGATAGACACAGTGGCTTACAACTATTTGAAGGAAAGTCTCAAATATTGTGATAGGATTGAACTAACCCAATCAAAAGAATTGTCATCATCACTATAACATGGGCTACTGTGTTCTAGAAATGAATAGTCGGTGTGTTCTATAGTTTTTAGATAATTTCTTTGATTAAAGCTCCATGTCCACAAAACTCAGTAGTAATAAAACTATTATAAAGAGCCTACATTTGACAGTGATTTGAATTAAGATCTTTGTTATTATTATTATTTTTCTTAATTCCTCATGACTCCCTTTCTCCTGCCCATCAAGGGTGCAATGTTTTTTATTCACCTTTGCTGCAGTTACAGAAAAGCAGCACTCGGAATGATTACAGAGAAGAAACAGAAATAAATTCTATTGTGGAATGCTTCCAGTTTTTATTCAAATCACAAACACTGGGTGCTTTGCAGTTCAGAAGAAACTCATAAATAGTAGTATCTATATTAATGAACATAGTTATGGGTCAGTCAATATATCAATAGTGATATACCTTTGTTTGAAAATAATGCATTTGAAAGGACTGTGTAGCTACTTTTTTAATGAATGGGAAATATGATCACTGCTTCCTTCTCCTTTTCAGGCCTACCACATTTTCAGGACCAGAGTGATTTAAAAGGATTACTAGAAAATCTTCATCAAAATATTCAGACTAAAAAAAGAAAGAATGTAGAAATCATGTGGTTGGCTGCAACGGTAAGATGCCTCATCAAACAGCAATTCCATTGAAGTCATTCTGTCTTGTTAAATTAAACTTTGGGTCCCCAAAGAGCTGAGGAATGTCATTAATGAGTTTACTTTTTTCTAAATCACTCTAATTTTGTTAATTACAAAATATGTATATTTTTAGATTCCTTCCAAGTACTTTATCAAACTAAATCAGTTGCACATGCATGCTTTACCCAAGCCAGTTTTTCTAGTGCCCTGCTTGAAATTTTGTTGATGCTAAATCCCTCCACATATTGATATTACATATTCTTTTGAAAACATTCTCTGTACATAATGAATCATAGACTTTAAATTACTTTTTCTACCGGGATTCACTATTTTAGGTTTTGGCTGGAAGTTTGTTTTGAAATTAGGAAAGAAATTGAAATGATTCTGTAGCCATTTTATGAATATCATATTTGCATTTTCATCTCATGGGCAGTTGAGAAAGACAATATATAATAGAGAAGATTGACACTAGAGGTGAAATCAGGAAGTGTTGGGATTAGATTTCATTTTCATTAGTAAGTTATACTAAGAAAATAGTTGGAAATAATTAGGCTTATTTAAATGACAGTTCCTGTGGCCAAACTATATTAATATAATTTTGCTGTCATAATGTACAAAGAGCAGGTCTATGAATCTACTTTATTATTTATTTATTTATTTTGTTTTTTACTATCTATGGTTCTTGATATATTCTGTAAAATAATGGGCTGATTACATAGCATGCCCAGATACCATCATAATTGCTGAATAATGGATTTAAAAAGTATTTCAGGTTAGAATAGAACTGGATGCAGCTTGATGATCCTGGAAAATAAGGGAGGAAGCTTGCATTCACTCACTGGTCTGCCTGAGACTCACTGGCCATTATCTTGAACTCAGCACAGGAAAAGTATTTGTTTCCATAACTTCCTTTATCTGCTATTTTAGGGGATACAGACCTTGCAGTTTTGCACTGCTTATGCAGCATCCTATGAGTCTAATTCTTAGTAGCCCACCAGTTACTAAGGAAAGATAGTAAGTAAGCTCAGCACTTCACCAATAAAGTTTTTGGGGCAAGAGCCTCTCGTGTTCCTTCCAGACACTTCTTCAAAAGCCAGGGGAATAATCAGGGCATTATCTCTACAAGCAAACCCTTAGAATAGAATGGAATGGAATGGAATGGAACAGAACAGAATAGAATAGAATTCTTTATTGGCCAAGTGTGATTGGACACACAAGGAATTTGTCTTTGGTGCATAAGCTCTCAGTGTACATAAGGAGAATAAAATACATTCATCGAATAAAAAGATATAATACTTAGTGATAGTCAAGGTTGCTAATAAGCTATCAAATCGTACTAGTAAACAAATAAAACGATATAAATTGAAAGATACAAGCAACCTGTTTATAGTCGTAAGTGGGAAGAGATAGATATTAGGAAGATTCTGATAAGCCAGGTAGTTAGGATAGACTTCCTCAAACCCAGCAAATGGATCACTGTGCAATCTGTCCATCCAAGATCTATGTGAAACCAGAAAATCAGTCAATCTTCTTGTCAGACAGGATTTCAGTTAAGGTTCCCTCTTTTCCCTGCTCCTGGAATTCAATCTTGGAATACAAGGTATACAACTATAGCAATCCCCATTGTCCTGATCTTCTCCTCACAATTTCATTGAGTTTCACAAGAATAATGATGTCTGACAAGGTTTCCAACTTGAACTGTGAATCTTCAAATATATGTATATAAAGATGTTTGCAAATTATTCTGACTTTTATTTTGTACTAGAAGTAGTTTGATGCAAAGAACTTTTCTTTGTTAAAAGCCAAAGTTTAACCACAGTTTCACCATATATTATCTCAAATTCACATTGATGGAAATCAAATCATAATTGTTATAAATGATTCTTCTCTAATTATATAGAAGCCCTGGGTTTTATTCAAGGCATACTTGCTCAATTTATTTATTTATTCCATTAATCTGTCATCAGCTGCTTGATTTATTATTTATTATTATATTTCTTCTAGGTTGTTTTTATTTTTTCCTTGGGAAGATAGATATTAAGTAGCCCATGGACCATGTAATATAGTTGGTGAATTTCCTAATAACAAAGTTACTGATTTATTAATTTTGTTAATAGCACTAAAAGATCTATAGTAGATAGATTATTTTCTCTATAAATGGCTACATTTATTTTCAGAATGCATCTGTCAAGATGGAAAATTAAAGACTGGAGAAAACAGAATACTAATATATGTATCTTGGTGGCACTTCCATTCTTTCTTTTTATAAACTGCTTCAGTGTACTTATGTTGGAACAATGACAGTTGTGAGAAGTGGGAGTCACAGTAGTAACCATCATTGCTGTAATGATGCTCTTGCTAATACGTCTTCAACTTAATTGATCGGTGGTACATCACTTCCATTTAACACTGCCTCATGTCAAGGGAAGCAGCTGAATTCAGACAACAATTTGCACATTGTGTTGTAACAGCTAGCTTTATACACACACACACACACACACACACACACACACACGTATATATAACCATGGACTTCAATTGGGAAAGAAAAGAGCTAGTGTTCTGGCAAGCTTTAATATTATAACTTCCTGACCTAAATAATTGAAAGAAATTTTCAGTTTGTTTCAGATAATACAGAGATTACCCCGCAGGCCATGTCTTTAGAGACATGGTTTTTTCAACAAAAACGTCACCAAGAAAATTCTATGGAAAGAGTCTCAAACATGTCAGACAGGGAGCCCAACAATAGGTCATCAGGAATCCCAGTTGCTGAGGCAACTGGTGACATAAGCAAATGTCTGTGTTGTACAGAGTTACATCAGATAGCCACATGGCTTGTCATAGGAATAAGTCAGGGTAAATTAGATATTGTCAAACAAGAGATTATCATTGTATCAGTGAGCTACACTGATATTTTTTGAACTATAAGACGCACTGGAGTATAATATGCATCATGATTTTGAGGAGGCAATCTTTTCTTTAAAAAAAATTTTAGCACTCTGAGGCCTCCCAAACCCTCTGCATGCCTCGGTTTTTGCAACAAAAAGGGGAGGGCGATTGCGGAGCTTTGGGAGGCTGGTAGAGTGCTCCTGGGACTGTGGTGGAGCAAAAATGAGCAAGAACCGGCCTGTTTTTTGCTCATTTTTGCTGTCCCCAGTTCCCAGGAGCATTTTGCAAGCCTCCCAAACCCTCTGCACATCCATTTTTGCAAAGGGGGTGGGGTTTCAGTAGGCCAAAAATGCTGTATTCAGTGTATAAGATGCACCCAGATTTTCACCCTCTTTTTGAGAGGAAAAAGTTGTGTCTTATACTTCAAAAAATATGGTATATAGATAGATAACTTAACATAACTTAGAAGGGTGAGCCGCATCCCTTGCTCCATGCAAGTTGAAAGTTAAAGTTTTGAAGATATCTTAAACAGAATTTAGATGCCAGTTCACCCATGGATGCATATCGATTTATTCTTGGCTGAGATTTTCAGCTAAATGTAACTTCATTTAAAATATTTTTCTTTGAAATTATTGGAATGAAAGTTTTATCTATTGTATGACATTTAGGATAAATTATGCTACTAAACATATTACAGTTCTTCAAATACCTGGAAGTTAGAAAGCCAAAAGTGTACATTAGAATATTGGATAATCATTTGTCTGAAGTGTTGTAGGGTTTCCTGCCTAAGCAGGGGGTTGGACTAGAAGATCTCCAAGGTCCCTTCCAACTCTATTATTCTATTCTAATATCCCAGGATCTTCTCCAGATCCTAAAACCCCTGCCCACTCTAAGCTTTCTCAAAGTTGTCATCAAATTGTTTCAATGTGAAATAAACGTGATTAAATAAATGGGGAATAATTAGATTAACTATTTAATTTTTACTAATTAAAATGAAAGTTTGGGGCTTTTTTCTGACCTTTGCTTCTTTTTTCTTTGAGCATATTCTTCAATCTATCATTTGAGAATTAAGTATAAATTCTGATATCATTTAAAGTTTTCTGTTCTTTAAACTCTAGTTGAAACTTGTTCATTTCAGCTTAAATGAACTCAACTGCAATGGCTAAAGCAAATTAAGGTCATTCACAGAAAACTGTCTTATTGAAAAGCAAATACAGTGTCTGAGGTAGATGCAAATAGGCTGAAACTCTGCCACCATATTTACTCAAAAGTTAGTGGAGGATCCACAATTATTTTAACATTTGCTCAATATTAACTCTTAAGAAAAAAAAATGGTAAGCACTGCTGTCTCCTGAGCTATTCCTGTGACAAAAATTAAGTTCTCAAACCCACTCATCAAGCTAATGAGAAAGTACATATACATTCTTACATTGTGTTGAAGCTATCATTACATTCATGATCTGTCTGTCTGCAAAATAATCACACTCTTCTTATAGGGCAATGGTTGTTAAACTTTTTTCTTTCAAGATGCCTTCCCACTTTTAAAAGTTATGAAGGACTCCAATAGAGGTTTTGTTTGCACTTATTATATTCATAGATATTTACTGTGCTAACAATTAAAAATGAGTTATTTCCTTTTGATAGTGCATCTCATGATTGTTTGATGGGATTTTATTATTGTATTATTTTTCAATATAGGCTGGCAAATAATTTTCAAACACTAAAATCATCAGACCATGCTTTAAGAAACACAAAAAAAACCAGTGGTTTTGTTTTCTTCAAGATTCCCTTCCTGTTGAAAGATCTAGTGGTACAGCTAGTGTGGAGAAAGCAAGCATAAATAGGGAAATTTATATTTAAAAATTTAAAATTCCATCCATTTACAAGATTCGTAGAGTCACAGCATTCGAACTAGTTTTGGGGATGTCTCATATAACCCCACTTTAACTGGATATAAAATCAGCTCATATATCAAACAGATATACCATCATGGAACTGCACAAAGACTGAGTCAGTCCACTAGAAACCCAAACACAGTGTAATGAGTTATTCTGAGTTAAACAGTATATGCACTATACAAAGGTAGCCTT